CAAGAGTATGTCATCTGACCGCAGCCAGGAAATATGAACCGCAGCTCATGTAGAAACTTTTGATCGCAACCAAACGGTGGACCGCAGCCCAAGAGTGTAAATCTGTCCGCAGCCAGCTTCTGAACCGCAGCTCAGGAACAACCAATTCGATCGCAACCGAATTGGGGTATCATGCACACATAACACATAGCAAGCACATGCAGCCCACATTAGCACATTGGGAGGGGGAGAAATCGTATAACGAAACCTATGCGTGATCATCCACATACTAAGAGTGATCCTAAGGGTTTCATACTCCTTACACCTAGGCCAACGGGATACCAATTCAACTAGCATGCAATATATAAGACTTATACAACCTATGAACGGTACCCGAAATATCAAACTAGACACAGGCACGATAGACGGAGTCCGTTGGGACACCACGAGGATCGGGGGAACATCAAACGGGGAAGCCAAAATCCCAAGGTAGGGTAAAATCCAACGGTGACCCCCGGCTGCCCGCCCGCCGGCTACCCGCTGCCGGCGTTACCAACATTGGCCGCGGGTAGGTGGCGGCTCCCGTACCCCCCACTGACTCTTTCATCACAGAAAAATGCCCCGGGAACCATTGTGGAACCCGAGACCATGCTTAGACACTTTCAAACGCAATTGACAACAACACGTAGACAGTTAACGGATTCAAAAGCAAGAACATACGGCACATAACCTATCATGCTTTTCTAAACATAATCAACACCCAAACATACGAATTCCCACCCAATATACCAAGAATAATACCACCATACGAATTCCACGATACAACCTAGGGTTCTAATTATTTTTAAATCAACAAGAACACAATTCATCTTCTAATATCAAGATTCGGTAGGAATATCATATAAACATCAAGAATATCATATAATCATCAAGAACATCAAGAACACCATATAATCATCAAGAACCTCTTATGATCAAGATCACCCATGGAATCATAACACCAATTATCAAGATCATTATAACGAATCATCAACACACAAGAATATGGGGGAAATCCTAAGAGGTGAATCATAGCTATGAAAATAGGTTTTGTTGAGACATGGGTTACCTCTTAGCCTTAATTAATTCCTTGGCTATGAAGAGTCTTTCTTTAAGCTTTCTTCTTTCTTGATTTCTCCTAAGGGAATTCTTGGAACTCCTTGTGTGGTGAGAGATTATTGTGGTGGGGGTTCTAGGTGCCTCTTATGTCCCCTATTTATATATCTAAGAGTCCTAATTAGGGCCCAATTACTATAGGCTTGCTAGCTCTATTCCTTTTAGGACTAGGGGTTGGGTTTAGAGAAGAGGACCCACGGACTATGGTGGGCCTTTTCCAATTTAATTATTGTAATTTAATTCTTTCTTTGGATAATTGGTTAAATGATTAATTGGTTTTAGGGGTCGTAACACGGGGTGTTACACTATCTCCTCGTTTTCCATGAATGTTTTTCTACTGCCTATGTCTATGATTAAAGAGATTGAATGTATTTTGAATGCCTTCTGGTGGGGCTGTGAGGGAGAAGGTAGAAAAGGCATAAGTTGGAAAGCTTGGGAGCATCTTTGTGTTCCTAAATCATGGGGAGGCATGGGTTTTCGCAAGTTAAGGGAGTTTAATCTAGCAATGCTCAGCAAACGGGCTTGGAGATTATTGCACAATCAGTCATCCCTTGTTGCCAGAGTTTTCAAAGCAAGGTATTACCCAATTTGCTCATTTCTAGATGCGAAGAGTGGCAATAACCCTTCCTTTATTTGGAAGAATGTTCTGGAATCTCAAGACATTATAAGGAATAACAGTCGATGGCGTGTGGGGAACGGGCTTTCTATCAGTATATGGGAGGACAAGTGGTTGCCCGATGTTTTTAACCCTACTGTGACTTCTCCACCATACCCTTTTTTGTATAATGCTAAGGTTTCTTCCCTTTTAAATGATCATAATACTGATTGGGACGTTGACACTGTTAGGGACATCTTCAACTGCCGAGACGCAAAGTTAATCACCAGCATTCCTATTTCTTCCTTTCCAAGAGATGATAAACTTATTTGGGCAAGGGAGGAAAGGGCGCATTTCTCTGTAAAAAGCTGCTATAGAGCCCTGACTCACGATCTTTCTACTTCTATCACCCCTGCCTGGACTGCTGTTTGGAATCTTCATATACCTCCAAAGGTCAAGGTCTTCTTCTGGCAAGCTTGTTCGTCATGTCTTCCCGTTGCTTCGATGCTGCATCAGAGGAGGGTGGATTGCCCTTTATTATGCCAAATCTGTCAAGAAGAGCCGGAAAAAACCTTTCACACTTTGGTCACTTGCAAGGCTGCAATGCTGGTCTATGATGCCCAGAATTATTGGACCATACGGGATACCCACCTTCAATGACTGGGTCCAGTCCAACCTTAATGTGCTATCCAAGGCTGATATTTCTTTGCTTATTATGATTTGTTGGCATTTAGGTAGCAGGAATGATAAAGTGTGGAGAAATATATCCACCACAGCTGTGCAAACTGTTGTGAGGGCCTCGTCCTACTTACGTGACTGGAGAGATATCATAGACAGAGAGCATCCAAGGAATCCCCATCCTGTTTTTACTAAGACCAAATGGATGAAACCAAAACCGGGGTGGTCAAAGCTGAATGTGGACGCAGCTATTGATGTTGATGGTGGCAAGATGGGTTTCGGTTGGATTCTCAGGGATGAGTACGGTGCTTTCATGATGAGACCCAAAGACAACAAGCAAATGATCCGATGAAAGTCTCTAGTGGCCTGACAACAAGATCCAAGTCAAAAAAGATTCAAGAGGCTTTTAACGGGTTGCTTCTCACAACAAGTGCACACCCAAGGGATCACCCCAGAACCTTTCGTGTCCTATAAAGGATCTTACCTTGTAGACTCTTGGATTTTGAGATCCCGAACTCTACAATTGCCTCGCCAAAACTTCCAATGACCTTCTCAACCCTTGGATGATTAAACAAGGCTAAGAACTAGACTTATGAATCTAGCACTTGAGATAAGAAATAAGAACAAACTTAACTATGTAATATAAGTAGTAGTACTATTCTTTTTGGGATTTTTCGGGTATGTGTATGAATGTAAAGAACAAGATAGTAGGATATGCCTTCTCGGCTTGTAAACTAGCTTCTCACTAGCTTACTTAGATTGAATGCATCTCACAAACAACCTAAACACTCAATGCAATTCTCATGCAAAGAAAAAGATAGAAATTCTCATTTCATTCCAAATATTACAAGCTGATTTGAACCATTGGGTAATGGGGTTTTTATAGGGAAAAATCAGGGATTGCAAAAATATAAAATATTCTAGGTTTCGTTCCTTAGCTATGAAGTAAATAATTAAAAATTACAAGTTGCAAAATAAACCCCTCCTCCCCCCTTTTTACGTATGAAATCTGATTTGTAGTAGGCTGAATTTTCTTCCACAACTTGCTATCTTTCACATGGGTTTGTCATAAGCATTTAATGCTTTGTCTCCTTGAGTTAGCTAGTTGCTTGAGGTGCTTGCTTGAGCTACTTGGTTGATGACAAGCAAGGAGGTGAGTGAGCAGCTAGGTAGTGATGAAGTTGCACAAACAAGTAGGTGAATCACTAAGCAAGTAGGTGATTCATCAAGCTAGTAAGTGAAGCACACTCCTTAAGCTAGTAGCTCTCTTCAAAAGTCTTGATGTGAAGGCAATTGAATAGATTTGTTTCTCCAGATTGATCTCCTTCTTCATAAATAGCTGTTGTACTCAAATTTGCTTGCACAAAAGTGTTAAAAGCTTCTTGAATCTTTTTTGACTTGGTTCTTGTTGTCGGGCCACTAGAGACTTTCATCGGATCATTTGCTTGTTGTCTTTGGGTCTCATCATTTCAAGGCCGGCAGATGCACACCATGGATTGGGAATTACACTCCCAAGGAAGCTGAGGCTGTCGCTATCCGGGAAGCTTTATCTTCGGTTAAATCCTACCATCTTGATCATATTTTGCTGGAAACTGATGCTCTTACTGTTGTCTAAAGCTTAAACTCTACTTTAGGAGCTTCTTTCTCCTGACTTGGTTTTGTTAGATATTAAAGATAGGCTTAGCTGGTTTTCCCATGTGTCTATCTCGTTTGTTAAGTGTTTTGCGAATCGGGCTGCCAACTCTCTTGCTCGGGAGTCCCTTTCTAAGTCAGATTGCGAGGAATGGGTCACTAACCCCCCTCTTTTCCTTTGTAATGTTCTCTGTGATGATTTTATTAATGAAATCTAATCTTCTGTTCTCAAAAAAAGGACAAATTCTACAATTAACCTATAACTTAAGGACGGAAACTGCAATTTTCCCCTTCAATTTAATTTGACAATGTTGCTATGTTTTTTAGTTTCATTTTTCCCTACACACTAATTTCATTATATCAATACTAAAGTATCATTTTAATTCTATTATAGTTCCATTTAATAATATACATCATTGCTTGAGCTATATTTTTTTGTTTTATTTTCCACACACTAACTTAATTACAGTAATGATGAAGTATTATTTTAATTGCACTTCAGGTCATTTCATTTTCCATGCACACTAGTTCCATCATCACAATACTAAAGTATCATTTTAATTATACTACAGTTTCATTTGACAATAATGTGCTCTGTTTTTTAAGTTCATTTTCCACACTAATTTCATTATAATAACACTAAAATATCATTTTAATTCTACTCTAATTTAATTCGACGATCATAGTCCACACAGTGATGACTGTGTGGACTATGGTCCACTGTATAACAACTGGCCCTCTAATGTACCAGGGTATTAACACAACAAACATCTATGAATTTTGAACACTCATTTTTCCATTGTATCTTCATATCTCATTGGTAGAAGATACAAGTTTGCAAAGTAACATCAAGAATAATAGGACAAAACTTCCCATCATCAAGAAGACAGTTTCCTGGTAATTAGGATCCATTATTTATCCAACAAACTACAGCAAAAGAGCTGTACAGATTGCACACATATTATGACAGGCTAAATGCTAAATACTTTTACTATTGATGAAATGAACTCAACCTCCTTTTACATTGTAATATATATAATAAAACATATGGCTACATGGTCACTTTTTAGTATGAATCAGAAACCATTTTCATATCTAGGTATCTGGCACAAGAAATGTTACAATCAGCTTCTAGTTTGCTATCAACCAAATTAACACCTGCCTCCAGGTTGTGTAAAACTCGCATACATAAATACAAAGTGGGCTGTATATTTCCTCATATCTCTAATCTTACCGAATGTTTGTTGGAACCCGAGACCAGCAAAGGTCACTTGTCTGACATCAGTTACATTCCTGTCGGCCTCCATGGATTGCTCCCATCTCGAATCCAAATGGTAGAAATAAGAACTACATGAATTTGTGTGGCTCTGGAGGGTAGACAATGCTCAATGATGGCTTCATTCGTATATCCGCTTCCTCTTCAAAAGGGTTGGTAATATAATGATAGAACCAATAAGGAAAAGAACTACCAAAGTTTTGAAATCGTACAGATCTTTGACTGATTTTAAATCCCCAAGAGCAAGGCCAGCCTGATTATTCAAATGATGAAAGGAGGAGAAGCTATCAGATTCATTTGACGGAAACAACTTTTAGAAGCATTATCAATTATCAATACTATGATAATACAAAAGAAAATGTTGTCCATTTGAGTTATAAGCATTATCACTAATATGATGAATCAACAGAATGCTTGTTTGTTGTTCATTTGATTATGTCATATTTCCTTCACCCAATGTTATAGTTCAAATCCTGAATTTCTTCAGGCATAATCAAGTGATTTTATAACGGTAACCCAAATTATGCCTGGCTTACGGCGCCTAGGCGCTGGCCGGTCGCCTAGCGTATCACCATAATCGGTGGTTTAGGCGGCGGCCGACTAGGCCGCCTAGGCTTCCTAGGCACCAACTAGGCCGCCTAGGCACCGACTGGGGTGCCTAATCCGCCGATTAGCTATTGTTCCCTTTTTTTAAATCGGTTATTTCACTCAACTACATCGTTTTGAGCAAAATAATCCTAAATTGTTCAAACTTTAGATTTTTTTAAGTTAACATTTAATATTTTAGTATTAACTATTAAATTATTAAATAGTTTATAATTATCAAGTCTTAAAAAATTTAAAAATTTTAAACAAATTTTGAAAAAATAAATAAAAAATACATGGGCGCCTAATCGCCGCCTAGGCGCCCCCGAGCGCCCAAGGAGTGCCGCTAGCGATTTTTTCAACCATGATTTCCCCATTACAGAGAATGAATCATGTAAAACAAGGATTCACCGACCTTATCACAACTCCATGGCACTGCTAAGTGTGGATATTCAAATCTTTTCAAAATTATTCTTCTTTAATGTTTATTATTACTCTGAATTGCTTTACTATTAGATCTTTTTAAAATCCATCCTAACCTGGTTTCACTAGCGTTGAGAAACAGAGGGCAATATATTTGTTTATATCCCTTGCAATTAGCATACAGATCCATCACATTGGCTCAAACAGGGAGTGTGTGGGATAAAGAGAAGGGTGGCGGTGAAACCAGGTTAGGATGGATTTTAATCTAATAGCATTAACTTTGGTAAAGGATAAATATTCAAAATTATATAAATGATGAATGGAGGACTAACAGGCTACTCCTATACACAACCACTATCTAGCAAGACAATAAGAGAGTCGAGGGGGTAACCCTAGCCAAGATGGCAAAAGATCCGCACTTGTAACTACAAGGTCACAAGTTCAAATCCTTGCCCTCTTGGTTTGAGCCGGTCAGCTATGGGTAACCTAGGTTCAGTTACTTCCTTGTGGTCCTTTGCTGGCTAGGGTCACAAGTCGGGGTTTACTCGCACTCGAAAGGGTTGTGGAGTTTCCCTCGTCATCCAAAAATAAGAGTCGAAAGACCACATATATATGTGGCAGAGACTTGGTAATCTATCAGCTGAACATCCTAAGAATAGCAAGGACTTGTGTCTTTGCCGCAGATGTTGTTAAGTGTTAAATCAACAGTGCAATCGTAAGATGCAACATAGTACTGCCAAAAAGAGACAAGCAAAAAAGACAGTAAAAAACAATCATAAATAAGTTGGAAAGACTTACCCTGACAGTAATAAATGAGGCAGGAATAAGACCAATCACCGTGGCCAGAAAGAAAATGTGGAATGGTATATCCACTATAGGAGATGCCAAATTGATAAAAAGGTTTGGCAACGTTGGAGTTACCCTCAAAAAAAGCATGTAGTTGAGTAATTTATCCCTGCGCTTGGCTATCTACAATTACAATATTAACATTAGTATGTAGAAAAAAAGGGCATAAAACTAACAAAAAACAAAATAAGGTTACCATTTTTAAAGTTAAAAATACCTCTGATTGGAAAAACCTCAACTTTTCAGGCCATAGTGAGTGAACTATAGGCCTTCCAAGTAATTTAGAAAGAAAGAAGCAGGACGATGCACCGGCCGTAGCATTAAAGACAACCAAGAAAAGCCCTCTAAGAACACCGAAAAGTGCTCCAGCAAGTAATGACATAAAAATGGTCCCGGGAATCATGAATGTCTGCATAAATATGTATGTTGAGCAGTAACCCAAAATGAATCTCGTTGGGTACATATCGGCATACATAGCTAGGTGATCCCTGAAAAAGAATATTACAAGTGTTTACTTAGACATTAAGAGTAAGAAAAGAAAAGATGAGTTTTAGCATTATGAACTGATCACAATTAAGATTGGGACACATTTTACTAAAAAATGAATGTCTAAATAGTTATTGCACTAATAGCATATACACCAAATTCCATAAGGACATGATAGGAGCAAAAGGTATCCTCACTCCATATAAAAGGGCAATCACCAGAGACTGTAATGAACAACTTTTATTTTCATAAAATTCTCAGAATATTACCAAAGAAATTTTGAACCGCAATTATTATTGTCAACAAAGGAGACAACTGTTCATTACAAAAGGAAGTGAGCACACAACTCACGTGAACAATATCTCATATTTCCTGTATAAGCGTGTTGCTCACCCATTACCACCTAAAATTGGAGACCGCCTCTAACAGCACCAAAAAAATCCGTTATCAACCAGACACAAACATGATGAGCCTTGCAACAACTAAATTCAAGCTGATATTTTTCTCCATTCAACTTGGGAGAAATCAAGGCAATCAAACATTCAGCCATTATTCTGCAACAAGTATAGAAGGTAAAGAAAAAGACTTGGATACCCAGACCACTACTTTGATAGATCAAAAATACCCTTTGGTCCAATTGGACTGAAAGGTCATAAGTTGGTAATGAGTGCTGGGAAAAATTGCAATTTGACTTATGGATTAGTAAGAATAATGGTTAATGAATTTGCAGGAACTTCCTGAGCTGGTCATAAAGGAACACTTTTAGAGGAGAATGTGTAGCATAGCATAAAAGTGAAGTAGTAGAGAATCTAGAGATTAACAACCATATTATAAGTCACAATGTTTAGCTACTTAACCAACATTTTGACATAAAAACAGAATCAAATGAAACAGCAGAAGCACAAAAACCATACTTGAGCATCCGAAGATCAGAAATATTACGAGGAAGCTTGAGTTTCCCATAATCTGCAGCAGGCATTGTCAAGTAGATGCAGAACAAGCCTGTCAAGCACACCATGAACACCACAAGAGCCGCGGCGAACTCCCAACGGCTGAGCAGGAACTTGCCCTCTTTGTAACGTTTGGCTGTCGGCGAGTCCGAGGAATAGGAGTCGGACAAATCGAGAATCTTCTCCTCATCTCTGGCCAAGCGCGACGTGTCCACCACCAAACCCCTGGGCGCCGCCATTGACGACCACAACGCAGATGGATGGCGATCTTTATGGTGATGACGATATCAATAACACCCTATGCTTCACTCATTTGGGCAGGGCCTCGTCTAGGGCTTGTTGATCCAAAAGGAAATGAAGAAATCTAGGGTTTGTGATTTCGGATTCAACGAATCAGTAGAAATTTTCTTTTAAAAAATTTAAAATTCCCAAAGAGAACGAAAAAGATTGAATTTTTAGATGAAAGACAAGAAAACGGAAGCTGAAATCGGAGGCAAACAGGAAAAAAACAAAGGTTGAAGTATTAGGAATTGGCAATTTGGGATATTTTCTTGGAATCCATTGGGTTGTTTGAATTTTTGTTCAACTTGGATTTATGACATATGCTCCGTATATACTTTTGTTGAGAGAGAGAGCCAAAGAGGAGCTTGAGTCAACGGAGGACGGCGAGCGGGCTGGTGTCTGGTGAGCTACACCCCATCAGGCCAATGCCAATGTTTTTGAGGAATTATACTATGGAACATGTTCCATGTTACAAAGTAAATCATGAAAGAGTTTATTACCGAAATAGTCCCTCGACTATTGCGAAATTATCAATTTGGTTCTCGACAATTTTTTTTACCCAATTAAGTCCTCCACTTTGAAAATGTTAACCATTTTGGTCCTCCGTTAAAATTCCATCCACAAGCTGTTAAATTTAAGGACAAAAATGTAATTTCATATATTTTATTCAAGGACAAAAAAGTAATTTAAGGACAAAAAGCTTGGTGGCCAGAGAGGGAGATGGTTGGTGATGGCGGAGACCTCCAGCAGCAGCAACGACAAATTAGCTTGTTTAGAAAACTCAATCTTCTGTATCTTGCAGCAGATTTGTAAGTTTTTATTTGTAAGCAGCTTGTCATATGAGCTTGCTTCATTACTCATGAGCAAATTTGCTTTTCTGAATCCAGCATTATGGTAAGGTAGGAAAGCACTGGAGTCCTTCAAGTCTTTCTAGAGTTGAGGATGCCACTTTGAAGGAACCTGATACTGTTCGGTACTCAAAACAAATTCGTCTCCCTGTTGATTCCTATGGCCCGCATGTGCCATCCCCGAGTAGTAGGTAAATATTTGTACTTGCTGAGATCAATCATTGCACATGAGCTCCCATCTCTGAGAATATTGCCTACATTTTATATCTTCAAATTAGCCATTGCAAAACTGAGGTTACACAAACACTTAACTTTTGGTTTCCGTTTATTGCAGGTCTGGACTATACATAGATCTCTATTCGCCACCATTACTGTACCATTTATTGCAGGGGAGTGACAACAAGACTTGGGCAAACTAGCCCTCCCCTACAGATTAGATCAAGTACTTCTGCTGCTTATGGCAGAGTGAGGCCAACATTCTACAGCATCGAGGAAACTAACCCTCCTCTGCAGAGCAGCAGAGGCCACTGAGTTCTACAGCCTATGCGAGAGTTGTAGCAATGTTAAGAGGAGCAGAGGAAGCTAGTGCTCGTCTGCCGGTACCACCCAGCTTATGGGAGAGTTGTAGCAACGTTAAGACGAAGCTAGGCACTGAGTTCTCCAGCTTTGGCTAGCAGCACTATAGCCCTCGTCTCCAACTGGTTCTGTTCCCGTCATCGGCCATGGCACCTGGTTCCCCTTCTGACGATCTTTCCCCGGCGAGTAGCAGGACGCGACCTCCCTCCTCTATTTCCGGCGAAGCATCGACAGTCCGGCGGTGACGGGAAGAAAAGCGTTAATAAATAAACGGGGAGAAGAAAAGCGTTAATAAATAAAATATATGAAATTACTTTTTTGTCCTTAAATTTAACAGCTTGTGGATGGAATTTTAACGGAGGACCAAAATGGTTAACATTTTCAAAGTAAAAGGACTTAATTGGGTAAGAAAAATTGTTGAGGACCAAATTGGTAATTTCGCAATAGTCGATGGACCATTTCGGTAATAAATTCATCATGAAATAAAACAAATAAGTATCATTTTTGTTTATGATTATTGACTCTATTAGATTGTAGTATCTACACAAAGAGTAAATAACGCCTCCATTGGGATTCGATCTCATGACCTCCCATATGGAAGAGATCATTACATGTCATCTGAGCACAAGGTGCTTAACATGAAATAAGTATCATTCTAATTATACTAAAAAAGAAAAGTCAAATAAGACTCTGAACATTTCTCAATAAATCAATTAAGATCTCAAACTTTTAAAAGTTGCAATTAAATCCATAAATATGTTGTTTTGGAGCATCGAAGCCCTTAATCCAATTGATGCCCTGTAATTACAAGTCATTAGGGTTCTGACGAACCTCCAACGAGTTTCCAACCAAATTCCGGCGAAAACAGTTACCGGCGTCAATTGGTCACCTTCTCCGGAAAAGGAGGAGGTAGCCCGACTAATCGCCTTTTCTGGCGAGAGAAAGCGACCAAACTAGTTGCCTTAGTTTCTCCAACGAAGAAGAAGGCAACCAACTAATGTCAGCGACCGTTTCGTTGGTGTTTTCGTTGGAATTTGGTCAGAAGCTCGTCGAAGGTTCGTCGGAACCCTAATGACCTGTAATTATAGGTCACCAACTGGTATTTTGGGGCTCAATGCTCCAAAACAACATGTGAAATTTGCAAAAACGTAGCAGTTGTGACACAAGGAGTTGGTAACGCAATTCGGGGAAAACCCTAGTGTTAGGAATAAAGTGTAATGGTCTTGATATGCCAAATTTGTATTTGTAGATCCCCCAATTTTGTTTATAGGTCTAGTAGAGTCTTAGACCATGATCGGGAAATTATTTAAATATGAAAAGAGAAAAACCGAGGAAGATGGATGAAAATAGTAGAAGAAGATATCAAGCCGAATATCAAGAATTTGTCTGGAGAAAATGACAAATTGAAGAAGAAGATGAATGATATGAAATCACGTCAATGCTACTCAAAGAAGATATCCCAGAAGAATTTTCGTGAAGAAAATTAATATTGGAAGAATGCATGAAATTGACTTGGAGATCAAGCATCTATGGAAAGAAAGGAGTACATCAAAGAAGATTGGAGATTTAATCAATAGTTGTACAGACGAAGTGGATGATGCTTAATATATTATGCAAAATGGCTTAGGTTTGAAACTCACCATCAACAATTTTACAAGGTAAAATTTGAGAAGCCAAATTAAATTAATCTGATCCGTGGGGGAGCTAGTTTCAGAGAAATTGAGAAGCAATTGATTGAGATATTGGGAGAGAAATTGAAATCAATTCAAATTGGGAAGCAATTGATTGAAATTGGGAAAATTGAAATCAATTCAAATTGGGAAGCAATTGATTGAAATTGGGAGCTAGTTTCAGAGAAATTGAAATCAAATTGGGAAGCAATTGAAAGCACCAGGAGTAGACTGGGAGCTAATTGCAAGTCAAAGTCAATTGGCTCGGTGTCAATTAATTACAAAGGAGAAATTCAAATTGGGTGGAAGTTCACAACCAATTTGAAGTGGGTGTCAATTACAAAGGAGATTTGAAATCTGGGTGTCAATTACAAAGGAGAAATTCAAATTGGGTGGAAGTTCACAACCAATTTGAAGGAGAAATTCAAATTGGGTGGAAGTTCACAACCAATTTAAAGTGGGTGTCAATTACAAAGGAGAAATTCAAATTGGGTGGAAGTTCACAACCAATTTGAAGTCTGAGAACACCCAGACGTGACGTGAGAATGAAGAAGATGAAGAGTCTGACGTGAGAATGAAGAAGATGAAGATAAACTTACAGTGAAAATATTCTCACTAGGAAAAATACTAGTTTTAACTAGTATGGAATTAAATTAATGAATATTTTTAAATCCCAAAGACACAAGGACCACTCCAGAGCTGATCAGAGAAGCCATTCTACACCAAAACTGAGACCCAGATATTCTCACTCAACGTTGAACCAGAGGAATATCAGATGAAGTTTGGGAGCTCATTTACATGGAGATGAAGATCCATCAACGGCTAGCTTATCCTTTCTGACATCTTCGCAGAAGATAAGATAAGATCTCTGACAAAAAGATACAAGATTTCAAAAATGAGAGCGTCTCTTTCCAACGGACAGATTCTCATTACCAGCTATAAAATGATGAAGATATGAAGACTTGAAGATGGGGAACTCACGAAAAAGAGAGCAGAAAATTCGAATCTCTTAAAGGAGATCGAATAGAGCAATTAAGCTTGAAAGAGCATAGAGCAAAAATCTCATTTGGTACAGAGCATACCAAAAATCTTCAAGTGAGAAGTGAGAAAAGAAAAAGAACTCAGAGAGCTTCAAAGAAAATATTCTGAGAGTTCTTAAATAGAGCAAAGCAGAGCAAAAATATCAAGTGTTTTACTTGATAAATTCAAAGAGAGAAAACACTCAGAGCTATCAAGAGAAATCATTCCAGAGTGTTTATCTTCATCAAAGAGACCTGCGCATCATTGAAGATCATCTACAGAGTCTCAGAAGTTGGAAGCAAGACAACACTTGTTTTGGAGCAAAACAAGAGAAGGGAGGAAAGTAGCACGGAGCTGTGAAATCCTGGATTGTCACACGGAGCTGTGAGATCCGAAGCAGCAGTGTCGGAGGCACTGGGCGTGATTAGTGCGGGCTTTATGATCAAAGCACTAGATCACGGATACGTTTCTATCGGAGTGTGGAAGACGGGGGGGAAAGTTACGCGGAGTCATGAAATCATGGGATAGTAGCGCGGCGACGTGAAACCCGAAGCAGCAGTGTGGTGTCACTGGGCGTGATTAGTGCGGGCTTTGTGATCAAAGCACTAGATCACGGAAATTCATTGTATCGTGGAACCAAGGAGTGGTAGATATAGTGAATTGCTCTTGGAGATAAGAGCAAGTGGAGTAGGAGGATTACACCACCTCGCGAACCACTATAATTGTCTTGTGTTCTTTACTGCTTTCTTTACTTACTGCTCTTTACATATTAGCTCTACACGAGATATACTGCTCACACAATCTCACACACACTTTATGTTTATTTATTTCCGCTGTGCACCAGACTCTAACAATCTAGTTAAGAGTTTTGGTTTATCTCTGGCTTAGCAATTGTTGTGCTGTGCGAAAAAGTTTGAAAGTCTATTCCCCCCCCCCCCCCCCCCCCCCCCCCCCCCCCCTCTAGACTTTCACCTTACCTCTTTTGGGACTAAAAATTGGTATCAGAGCAGGCTGTCTATTTAGGCCAAATTGTTATCTAAACACGTGCCTAACTGGGTCAACCGTTTCTGACTGCTAGACAGATCCATTCTACAAAGTGTGTGAATTGGATTAATCTTTCATATCTCTTGTGATGATGATGAAGAAAGATTTAGCTCAAAATCTATTATTCTCACTTGATAAATTTGATGATTGGAAAGTTCGTATGCAGGTACACTTATCGGCTTTACACGATGAAATGTGGGAAGTTATTTCCACTGGCCCTATCGAAATATTAAAAGTTAATACGGCGT